AAAAAAAAAACCACACACACAATAAGAAATGTACTCGTTATCTTGCCCGTGTAATTGTAAGTCCTCTGTACGGTATTCTCACAATAAAAAATAAAATAAAAATAAAAAAACACAGATGGAAGTCCAACAGGATGGAATATTACAAGTAACCATTCAGAAAACACAATAATATATGTAAATATTTTTTAAAAGAAACAAGTTAGAGCCAAGTTGCGTTTTTGTTTGTTTATTCCTTTTTGTTTGGAGCTGAAATCCAAGGTCTTGTGCTTTACCTGTGAGTTATACACCAAAGTTCAAGTCTCCTTGATTGCTTCCAGTGCTGGGGCTTGAATTCATAGCCCCATGTTCTTGCTTAGCTTTTTACACTGAAGGCTGCACTCCACCACTTGAGCCACACTTCTACTTCCATCTTTGGTCTTAATAGAGAATTCCCACTGTGTGAATTTCTAGATTTTCTTTATCTTCTTTGTGGATTTTACACGATTTTTAAAGTTGTGACTAGTTTTGACTTGTTGATCTAGTTAAGATTAGATTATTCTGAGCTTTATTTAATAGGAGTTTCTTTGACAGCTATAAAGGAGTCTTTTTTAGAGTACAATCTTGTATAGCAATAGCTTGCTACACTGACCTTCTTTAATGTCTTTTACAAAGGCAAGCTGTCCCTGCCATTTGGCTTCTGAAAAATAACTTATTCAAAAAAGCTTTTAGCCGGGTGCCAGTGGCTCGCACCTGTAATCCTAGCTACTAAGGAGGCTGAAATATAAGGATCATGGTTCAATGCCAGCCCGGGCAGGAAAGTCTGTGAAACTCTTATCTCCAATAAACCACCAGAAAACCAGAAGTGGCACTGTGGCTGAAGTGGAAGAGTGCTCACTTTGAGCAGAAGACCTGAGGGACAGCGCCCAAGCCCAGAGTTCAAGCCCCATGACTGACCCCACCCTCCAAACAACAACAACAACAAAAAACAACTTTTGAAGCACTTGGAAAGTTCTAAGGGAACAAAGAATTTCTGTTTTCTTGACCAATATTTGGCAGAAAAATACATCTTTATTCCAAATTTCAACAAGTAGTCTTTTTTTAAGTTGAGATAGAATGCACACATCAAATGATTCATCTACTTAAATTATACAGTATGCTTTCACATATTCATAATGGTTATACATACAGAGATAGGTTCTTGTTATGTAGCCTACACTGGCTTTGAACTCACAATACTCCTGCCTTGGGTTTATCAAAGATTGGGATTACAGATATGGGCCAACAGGCCTTGGAGGGTCTAGTCACTAGGAAAAACACCCTCCCAGAAGAAGCATATATAATATAGTATTTCTGTCTAATATTTGCTTTTACATATTTGACACATTTTAAAAGAAATAATACATCTGTTTTTTCTTTTAATTTTCATGATCAATTTTGATATTTTTACAATATAAGGCAAGTTTTGGGAAACAAATAACATGTTATTAGATTGCCCCAGTAAGATATGAGTTTATCTGACAGCTCCATGCCTGCAGTTGATCCAGGAATCAATAGGTTATAAGTTACTTGCAAACAGTATAGTTGTTTACTTTAAAAACTCAAGAGAGGGCTGGGAAGGTGACTCAGTGGTAGAGCACTTGCCTTGCATGCCTGAGACCCTGGGTTCGATTCCTCAGCACCACATAAGCAAAAAGAAAAAACTGGAAGTGGCGCTGTGGCTCAAGTGGTAGAGCGCTAGCCTTGAGCTGAAGAGTTGAGGGACAGCGTCCAGGCCCAGAGTTCAGGCTCCACGACCGGACCCCCCCCCGCAAAAAAAAAAAACTCAAGAGAATAAACTTTGAAATTGCTAAGACTAATAGAGTTCAAGTGCCTAATACAAGGTAAGAAACACAAAAACCTATTTTCCTGTATAATAACAACCAATTAGAAAATATAAAGTAGAAAAGATCTCAAAACACTTATTGAGATATATAAAGGATTGTGTGAATAAATGGATAAATATATATGCACATGTTCCTGGATGAGAAAATTCCATGTTATAAAAATATTATTTACAATTTAAGTGGAATGTTTTATGTGCTTCTAGTAAAAATCCTACCAGATTTGGTTTGGAACTTCCTCAAGTTTCTGAAACTTTCTGAAATTGATCTGAACAAATAAACTAAAAAACGACTTGACAACAAGAGGAGGAGGCATGTGCATGAACATGTTTGTATGTACACACTGATCCTGTGCTTTAACTCAGGGCCTGAGCCCTGTCCCTGAGCTTTTGTGCTCAAAACTTCAAAACTAGTTTTCTACCATTTTGAGCCACAGCACCATCTCTAGCTTTTTTGGTAGTTAATTGGAGATAGTCTCATGGGTTTTCCTGAGTGGGCTAGCTTTGAACTGTGATCCTCAAATCTCAGCCTTCTGAATAGCTAGAATTATAGGCATGAGCCACCAGTGCCTAGCTATTGGCACATATTTTTTAATAAATTATTTTCTCTCAGAATTAAACCGAGGCTCATGTTTCTTCACACGTATGAACTAATTTTGGTGGAAGGTCATAAGAAATACATTAAATACACCATATAAAATATTATATAAATATCTAAGACAATATAAATATATATTTTTTCTTATGTAAATATATAAGAAAAATATACCTCCAGAAAAGGAGGAAAGGGTCATGAAATAGTACATTAGAGAGAACTTTGGCTCTAAATTAGTAAGACCTCAGTTTGAATGCTAGTTATATGTAAAATTGTACAGTTTGGGGCCAGTTACTCAACCTTTAGGAACTTCCATCAACTAGGAAATGAACATGATGAAGCTGGCAGTGTCACAGGGCTGGTATCAGCAAACAAATGTAAATATGATCATGTTGTTCCTGGTATGCAATAGGTACTTGACATCAGGGTAACTTATTTCTGGTGCAGTCTTATGGCTGCTTCTCTTCTGACCCAGGGTGGTTATGTGAGATCAAGAAAAATGGACTAGCCAGGCACCTGTGGCTCATGCCTGTAATTCTAGCTACTCAGGAGACTGAGATCTGAGGATCACGGTTCGAAGCCAGCCTGGGCAGGAAAGTCTGTGAGACTCTTATTTCCAATTAACCACGAAAAAACCAGAAGTGGCACTGTGGCTCAAGTAGTAGAGCACTAGCCTGGAGACGAAATGCTTAGGGACAGCACCCAGGCCTAGAGTTCAAGGCCCACGACCAATGAGAGAGAGAGACAGAGACAGAGACAGAGAGAGACAGAGACAAGAGACAGAGAGAAACAAAGAGACAGAGACAGAGAGAGACAGAGAAATGGACTACACTGTGGAAACCTGTGCCAGTCTCCATGTTTCTGTTGAGTCTTTTACTTTGTGAGCACCTATAATTGCCTTTCTTATGTCCAGATAAGGATCCCCAAAGACCACCAAGGAGCCGATTCTGATGCAAGTACATACGAGTTATTTATTTCAAGCTCGAGCCTGGACTCACAACCGTCCCTGACACAGCGAATCAGAGTTGAGAGCCCAGACCCTTCCTCTAGCAGGGTTTTTATAGGGGTTTTAGGGACTTCTATGTGTCATTGCAACACTTAACAAGTCATATCAAACCACTAGAAAATCATAAAATAACTCTAAAAGATGATTAGTGTAACCAGTGGTGGGAACCTAGCAGGTACTGGGGGTTGGCTAGTTCATGGAGTTGATGTTCTTCAAAATGATTGGCTAAACCAGATGGTCTGAGCGGCAACTGAGTGGTCTTTAACTTGCAGGAACGCCTGGAACTTTGAGTTTTTCCTGTTATCTGCTGATTAGCTGTAGTAGAATTTACCATAAAGGGGGTTATTCGTGGAATTTGGGCTCAAGAGGATGAAGGGGAGTTGCTGACACATTTCCCGGACAAAATGGAATACAAACCTAAAATTGCTATATTTTTTTCAGGCTTCACACCTTCTCTTACCTTTTCTATGTGGAGCAGTATAATGGGTAGATGAAATAAAGGAAAAGGGCTGTACACATACTAGTTCTCAGGCCCAAAAGGAAAATCTTACATTTGAGGGATTCCCAATAGTAAGCCACAGAGTAATAAAGCAATAGTCTGATCGGTTTCAGTTTTATTTTCATAGAAGAAATAATGAAACTCTATTACTAGTTCAAATTTATCATAATTGAGGGAACCATGTCTTCCTGGATTAGGAAGCCACAATTCAGTTCTCTAACTTATGTGGAAGACCTCAAACTATAAAGGTCAGGTCTTTGAGGAAACAAGATCACCTTGTAAACAAAGCGTCTAAGAAAACCAAAAGCTAGCTGGGCATTGGTGGCTCAGGACTGTAACCCTAGTTACTCAGGAGGCTGAGATCTGAAGATTGAGGTTGGAGGAAAGCCCAGGAAGGAAGGTCTGCCACTTTTATCTCAAATAAACTACTCAGAAAAAGCTGGAAGTGGTGTTGTGACTCAAGTGGTAGAGCTCCAGCTTTGAGCAAAAAGAAGCTCAGGGACAGTACCCAGGTGTAGAGTTCAAGCCCCAGGACAAGAAAGAAAGAAAGAGAGAAAGAGAGAAAGAGAGAGAGAGAGAGAGAGGGAGAAAGAAAGAGAGAAAGAGAGAGAGGGAGAGAAAGAGAGAGAGGGAGAGGGAGGGAGGGAGGAAGAAAGGAAATAAAGAAGGAAGGAAAGAAGGAAAGAGAAAGAAAGAGAAAAAGACAGATAAGACAGGTAGGCTAAAGCTAAATAGTAATGGTGCCACTAAGGTTTGGGAGAAAGGGGCACAGTGTTTGTTCCTTTCTCATTACTTCCATCAGACAGCTGGCTAGAGTGATTCACAAGACTTCTAAATTGGGTTTGTTACCTCTTGTACCAGTCAGCCCTCCCTGGCTCTTCCCTATCTCTCTGCTTCCCTCCCCCAGATCTGAGTCAAACCCTTGTGAGAGGATACCATTGTTCAACCCTGATGTATTAAGTCCTTTCTGGCTTAGTTGGTTCCCTTTCATATTCTACATCTCTCTCTCTCTCTCCCCCAGTATTCCTTCCCCTGTCTTCAATCAGTTCCCTCATGGATTTGTGGGTTTAGTAATAGAGTAAGTGGTTCTTGTTATATGACATTCAGCTCTTGGGTTTCAGAGAGGCCATATTCAACTTTATATTGGTCAAACAATTTGCGCAGAGCACTGATGTATAGTGAATGGTACTTGTCCACGGTGTCCTTGCTGGGATTGTCAATCTTGGGGACTGGCAGGGGCTCCCCAACTATGGAGAAGAATAAGAGACAAACATTAGAGTTCTCACCATGATTTGCACTACCTATAGCTCACTGGAAGCCACTGACCAGCCTTTATCCTTCCTTCATTTTTCTCCCTGCTCCAGTTCCATCCTGGCCTTCATACTAATGATACTAATGTGACAGCTGTTGGACTCTGCCCCATCTGTGAATAGTCACAATGATTATGTTTTTAGTGGCACTCTCCACTCTGTTTTCAACTCTACCTACTGGAATTCCCTTTGCACTCCTGCTGTGAGCCAGTTCTGCATGAGAATAGAGGTTGAGTTGGGATGAGGAATCAAGAGCCAGGGAAGTGGGAAAGCTCACCAACAGTGGTAATTGGTCCATTGAAAGGCAGTAAACCCCAGGATCCACGAGTGAGTCCTCGGCCATGGAAGGTACATAGGTTTAAACCTAATATAATCTTGCTTATTCTCTGGTAGCTCGTTTGAAACAGCCGTAACCAAGTGCCTTCAGGGAAGGTCTCTTGTTTGTAAATCTCATTCTCCCCAAAGGAATAGGAAGGGACAAGGAACGCCCTGCAAAGAGAAGCAACACATGAACTCCCCCAGGACATAAACCTTTTCAAGGCAAACATATCCCCTCACACCCACCTGCCCCACAAAACTCTCTCTGAGGTGGGTAACTTATCCACCTCTCTATTTCAGAACAAGATCACAAGCACCTAATCATCTCTAGCCACAGGTCCTATTCCTTCCAAGTTCTATCCTCCCACCTGAATTCTGAGAGGAGCTGCTCTTCCTTGGCCTTACCATGGGAAAAAAACTAATTTCAGGAAACTTAAGTAACTTTAATGTGCTCAGCTTCTAGAGTGAGCTTCCTAAAATTCTGTGTAGACACATTACTTTTCACTTGAATGCCCTTCCAGCGCTCCCCACCATGCTCCTTGTTGCTTAGCGTGGTCTTTGTGCTCTAGCCTTCCCCATGCCACCAGCTGCCCCTTTCCCCTCTCACAACCTGTTTAACCATGGTACGTATGCTAAGATCTCTCCCATCTGTCTGTATATCTGATCCCTCTGCCAGGAGAACTCTCCTGTCTTCACATGACAAAGTCCATTTTGTCTTTCCAAACTCGGTTCTGATTTTGTCCCTTGAATAAATTTTCTTTGACCACCTTCAAATCTCTACCCTCTGATGCTGCTGTGGATGAGGTAGCCGTCAGCCAGTGCTTCCTTCTCTCCTCTCTCCTGCCTTTATCCTTTCCTGGCCCTGAATCATAGGCATATACCTACTCCTCAGATCAAAAGGGGAGAATTGTGTCATATTCATGTTTGAAACTCCCTAGGGTGACATGGGATATGTTACAGGTCCTCTCTTTTGTGTTGATTGGCAATAACTACTAAAACTACAACTCACAGTGCAGCTATCACCCCCTGTGAAACTTCTACTTTGGTTTCCCCAGTGGTCATTCATATAATCTCCTTATCACACTTCATTCATGAAACACCCCAGAGAAACACAATGGATTTTTAAAAGATCTCGGTGGAATTCATGGGGCTTAATTTTTTTTTTTTTTAGCAAGCAGACAATGATCAATAACATAGCATATAAATGAGTGAAATAAAACCCAAATATTATGTAAGAAGATAATAAGTTCAACAGAGAAACATCGGGTGGGGTGGTGGTCAGAAAAGACCTTATTGAAAAAAGCTGCTCTGGATTTGAAGGAGGTAAAGGAAAGAACCAAGCACTTGCTTGGAGGAATTATATTCCAGGCAGAGGCAAGACCCTAAGGCAAAAGTGCATGGCTTGCTGGGAACAGTTAGGAGTAGTGTAGCTGTGATGAGTGAGCAAGGGTAAGAGGAGGGAGAGATGAGATCAGAGAAGTGGTTGAGAACCAGCTAATTCAGGGTCCTTGTAAGGAGCCGTTGGAGCATTGTGAGTAGTGACATGACCTGACTCACATTTAACAGAATTATTGTTTGTGATTGAAATAAACTTTCAGAGGCGGAGGCAGAAACAGGAAGGGCAATTCACAGTATTTTAACAATCCTGGAGAGTGAGGATTAAAGTGTGAACCAAAGAATGCGAGTTGAGGTGGAAAGTAGTTGGGTTCTACATTTATTTTGTAATGCTATGTACATGTATCTGTCTTCCACATTGAACTGTTTCTTATTTGTCTCTATTACTTGCAATATTTAGGCATGACATACAGTAGCTGTTTGATAACTTCTGAATGAATGTGTGCTATTTTTTTCCTAACCAGATTGTATTCTCTTTGGGGGCAGATCTCATTCATCCTTGCAATCCTCCCAGCACCTACCCACTTCCTTCTTTATGTTTGGGAGGTTCTCAAGACCTTTTAGTGAACAGGTGGATAGAGCAAAGCCCCACTCCTCCTGAATCCTCAATCTACCAGAATAAGGGGCATTTTTTCTGCTCTTCCCTCACCAACTTGAAGAAAAGTGCTCACCCCTAAGGCACAGCATGAGAGGTAGAGGGTGAAGGGAGGGACCTTTTAACAAGCTTTTCTGGGAGAGCCCCAGAACTTCAAGACATACCCTGTCTGCAGTGCCAACTTTACAAAACCTTTACGATTTTTGAGAATGAGAGTAGTATTTCCTGGATAGCACAAGAGGGCTTCCGCAGCTCCACCTACCACAATGACCACAGCATTGCCTAAGCCATTGTGGGTCAGCTTGTATGTCACAGATGACTTAGTTACTGGAGACAAACCTGTAAAATCAGAGCGAAGTGGTAGAATAAACTTTATCTGAACATTGTAGAAGTTCTTCCAAACTCTTCATTTTGGTGATATGTCTTTGGCTCTAAACCAGGGATTAGCCCTAGCCTGAGTGCCTTAGGGACAATTGTTTGCCTTGTAGATCTGTGCTACTATAGCAGAGATGTACTGATTTCCTCTGCCTACTTCTACTATAACCTCCTACCTTCCAGATCCTCAGACTTTAAGCCCACCCTTCCCTCTCTGTCCGAGTACTGTAGTCATCTTCCATTCTGTCTGTACTGAGAGCACTGGAGACCCTCTAGAGTTTTCTCCTCTAGGGGTTGATCAGGATGAGCCATCACCAACGTGTTTTCTCTCTACAAGTGACCTGCCAAAAGAGAGCAATTTGCTGTGGTTTGGGAGACTGTAAGCAGATATGGGACCCTGCCCAAGCTAGATTGCAATGTCATTGAACAAAGGCATATAAGGGACACCTTGTTTTTAACAGCACTCACACAGTTTTTAATCACTTTGATTTTGGTACCCTGGGTATTGTATATACATTTATCTGAATTAGGGAAGGGAAGGGGAACAACAAAATGGTGAGACAAAGGACAAAGCGAATCAATACAACAGCAATACTCATAAGACAATATGTTGGAAATGATCTGTACAACTGGGGGAGGTGAGGGAGAGGGAAAGTGGGAGAAAACTGAGGGAGGGGTAACAAGCTTAATGTACTTACTACCTTACTAATGTAACTGTAACCCCTCTGTATATCACCTTGACAATAAAATGTAAAAAGAAAAAAGAATAAAAAAGAATACCATTTTTGCCAAATGCTTGTGGCACGCTTCTCTAATCCTAGCTACTAAAGAAGCTGACTTATGAGGATCCTGATTCAAAGCGAGCTTGGGCAGGAAAGTAAGTCAGCCTCTTGTCCAATTAACAACCAGAAAGCTGGAAGTGCAGGTGTGACTCAAATAGTAGAGCACCAACTTTGAGCAAAAAAGGATAATGCTTAGTTATTGAGCTCAAGCCCCAGTACTTGCAAGCACACACACACACACACACACACACACACACACACACACACACACAATCATATTTTTGTCCTCTGCTCACCTTCTCTACTGAGATGGCAGAAATTGCCTCCAAGATCCAGCCATTGAGAGAGACTCCTGCACCAAGTCCATGCCAACTTTAGAGGAGAGCAAAAGCAGCCTCTGGGATTCTAGTGGCCCCACTGGACCCACCAGATAAATGTATCTTACCTTTTTTTTTGTCAGTCGTGGGTCTTGAACTCTGGGCCCAGGTGCTGTCCCTGAGCTTTTCAGCTCAAGGCAAGCACTCTACCACTTGAGCCACAGTGCCACTTCCGGTTTTCTGGTGATTAATTGTAGATTAGAGTCTCACAGACTTTCCTGCTTGGGCTGGTTTTGAACCTCAATCCTCTGATTTCAACCTTCTGAGGATTACAGGCGTGAACCACTGGTGCCCAGCCGGTTGTATCTTACCTTTTTATATTTGGCATTGGTGGTCTTCTGTTGTCTAGAAGGACAAATATTCATCCAGCAGAAGGATATGTCTCTCAGTGCCATGGCTTGAAGCCTGGCATGAGGAAGTTGTTCAGGATTCTGAGGATACCTAGCCTTTATTCTTTGTCATCTTTTACAAAGGTGAAGAGGATTCCAGGAGATAGTCACAGACAAAAACTGTATAGATTAGCTGGTATAAAAGACTTTTGTCTTTAATATATCCTGGGACAAAGGATGCGGCAATAAATCATCAGTTAGAATAAGTCAACTGGTTTCCCAGAAAAGAATCTGGCATTTCATGCCTGATTTGCCCTGCATTTGTGTTTAGTACTTGGTTTTCGATTTTTGCTTTGCATTTTGAATTTGATCCTGAATTTGGCCCTCTGATTCACCTTGAGAGGAATCCTGGCAACTCCTTGGAACTGGCAATTCTCAGGCAACTCCTCTTCTTCCCAAGTAGACTCTGCCTCTTAGATCGTTGGCAGAGCCTGATGCTCAACACATACTCTTGAAACTGACCCTATGTGTTTGGAAATCACTTTTTACCAAGTCCTACTTTAGCAAGGAGTGATTGCAGGGCTGATCTGGGCTGGAGTGCTGAAGTAGATTACAGAATAGAATCTGTATATACTCACCCAATGATATCACATAGTCTCGCACTAGGGGGATCCATAAGATCCACTTCAAGGTTGATAAAAAGGGAGTGATGGATGGGAAAATCTGGGAGAAACCAGTGGCCTCAGTGGCAAAGTTGATGAAAACACCATGAGAGAAAATGCCATGGGGGTGGTTGCCAATGATGTAGTTGTGTTTGGGAGAAAGGTCATGGGTCTTCACCAGCTGTCAGAGGAAGATTGAGTCAGAGCATTGACCAAGAAGGAATAATGGGATGTATAGACCCATTTCCCAGCAAGCAGTTCCTAAATCTATGCTCATTGGACTGTCATCATTTGTCAAAGGATTTCCAGATCAAGAGGCTGACCTGGGATCGACCCTGTGGGAAAGACACTATCTATTAGATTCCCCACCTGCCCATCTAAAGTTTCTGCTCTGAATTATGCTTCTGGGGCTTGATCTTCACTGATTGCCACCAAAGCCTTTAAAATCATGGAGCTCAGTAGGGAAAGAAAGTCTGGGAAACAAGGACCAAGGAAAAGGTAGGCACCTTGAAGAAAGGTGGGCACCAAAAAGAAAGACGATCACCTTTATTGGGAAGTAATTCTGGAAATATTTCCAAACGGCCCAGTTTCGTGCCCAAGCTGAATGCCTACCACCTGTAAGAGAAGAAAAGAGAAGTGCAAATGGGCCATTGCCAGTCCCTCTACTGTCTGTGGTCCTCAGGCTACAGGAACAGGCTCCTTCTCAAATCTCAGAGCCCTAAGTACTGAGTCCAACCCCCAATATACAGGAAGCTTGTGTTCCTCTGGGAACCATGAAGGCTGGAAACTATCCAGGCATCAGAGGAACACTGCTCATAGCCCTTGACCCCTTATATATTTTGAAGCAGCCTGGCAGAGACCTTTGTCTGGTCTTTTGCCCTTCATTCAACTCCTTTTCTCTGTGGTTAGATAGGACCACCATTGTGCCCCCTCTTACCTTGATTGTGAGTGTTCCAATCATAGAAGAGCCAGGCATAGGTCAGCACAGGCAGGAGCCAGTATTTAGTGAACAACAAGTAGGGTAGAACCAAAAGGGAAATAACTCCTGAGGAGACACAGTGGATTGATGCCATTCAGTCCCTTCCAAATTTTTTGGCACACCTCTCATAACCTCCATTTTTCCTGTGCTTCTACACTGAAGGAGTGGAGCAAAGCTGGTGTGGGGTACTTCTTTCCTCCTCTCTTACCCCTTGAATAGCCCTGCGGTGATCTGGGTTACCCTCTGATCTGGGTCCTTTGTGTCAGTGTGTCTGTGTGTGTGCACGAGCATGTGCACACGCGTGCATGTGTGTCTGTATGGTGGAAGTACTAGGGCTTGAATTGCAAGCCTGGATGTGCTATTAGCTTTTTCACAGCTCCACTTTTTGTTTTACACTGGTTAATCACAGATAAGAGTCTCACAGAGTTTCCTGCTTGAGTTGGCTTTGAATCTCAATCCTGAGATCTCAGATTCCTGAGTACCTAGGAATACAGGCAGGAGCCAGTGGTTGCTAGTAGTTCTGGGCCCTCTTGACTGAGATCTCAACTGAGGAAACAGAAGGCCCATGAAGTTTTCAGCGCAAGTCCTCAAGTCGGATAAAAAGGCAGCAAAGCTTAGCAAGTGAAAGGGCAGCACTTTGGGCTGATTATCCCCATTCTGGAATCTCAGGAAATCGTTTCTAAAAACGCAGCCCTTGTTTGTTGAACTGCTAGATTCATATATTCCAAGGGGAGATGGCTTGCCTATAATGTGCAGGCTGTTTGATGCTGAGAAGAAAACATGGATTAGAAACTGCTTTGCTATGGTTCTATTTTGTCCCTTTCAAAATGTTACAGAAGTTCAGAAGGAGAAAAACGTATCTCTGTTAGTAAAGGGACTCTGCATGCTGTGTGATGCAAACAGAATAAATAGTACAGCCCTGGGAATTGGATTCCATTTTTATTTTTATTTATTTTTCCCATGCTGGGGATGAAACGTAGGGTCTTGTGTCTACTACACAAGTACTGAGCTACATCCTCAGTTCTAAACTCTATTTTAAAATCTGTTTATGAAAGAGAAAGGCTAAGTGTAAGGTCTGCTCCTGGATGGCCAGCAGACTCCACCCTCCTCGCAGCAAAGTCTCTGCCTAGTACCTGCGTTACCTAGGCAACTGGCACCTGGAAGAGGTCAACATCTGCATCCGCTGAGGTCACATCTGAATATGATGTGGCCACACCTTTCTCCGCCCATACCCTAGATAAGGCCTAGCCCAGGCCCAGATGCCCTCTTTCCCAGCCACATGGAGGGCCAACATGGCCTGGTGCCAGCCAGAACGATGAATAAACCTACCCCTTACCTGAATACCACGTGCTTGGTGTGGTTCTTACTCGGCTACCTCTTTTTAAAAACCTAACACTAAGTACATGGAGAGTGCAAATAGTATAATTCTTTAGAAAGACTAAGTCAAAGCCTAACAAAATAAGTACTAGGAAATGGGTACTTGCAGGGAAGGAGTTGTTAAGGAGAGAGGGGTAGAAGAATGAATGGGGAAAATGAGTAGAATGCAGACAAAAATGCGTTATATATGCCATAGATCTGAAAAAAGTAAGGGAAGGAGCAGGTTGAAGGGAAGATGAACATTTTGGAGGGATGACACAGATCAAGATGCATTGCATACATAAACTGCTTGTTAGATGTAACCTAAAATTAAGAAAGTGAGAAAGGAGATGAGTGAGAATGTTAAGAGTGAGACATTGGGCTGGGAATGTGGCTTAGTGGTAGAGGGCTTGCCTTGCATAGTCCTGGGTTCAGTTCCTCAGTACCACATACACAGAAAAAGCCAGAAGTGGTGCTGTGGTTCAAGTGGTAGAGCACTAGCCTTGAGTAAAAAAAAAAAAAAAAGCTCAGGGGCAGCACCCAGGACCTGAATAGCCCCAGAGCTGGCAAAAAAATAAATAATAAATAAAAGGGTGACACTGATCAGGAGGCACTCTATTCATAAACTGCTTTGTTGAATGGTAACTCTTTTGTACAACTACGTGTGTGTGTGTGTATGTGTGTGTGTGTGTGTGTGTATCAAAGAAGAGCCACATTGTGGTAAAAAAGGATTTTCAGAGAAGAAACTCAAGTTGCTTTCCACCAAGTATTGCTTTAAAAAGTCATTACATGGCTAGGTGCCATGACTCACCCTTGTAAGCCTAGTTACTCAGAAGGCCTGAGCAGGAAAGTCCTTAAGACCCTTATCTCCAATTAAGCACCAAAAAACAAACAAAAAAATAAAGGAAGTTGAGTTATGGCTCAAGTGGTAGAGTGCTAGCTAGCCTTGAGTGAAAAACCTCAGGGACTGTTCTCAGGCCCTTTGTTCAAGGCCCAGTAATGGCATGTGTGTGCGTGTGTGTGTGTGTGTGTGTGTGTGTGTGTGCGCGTGTGCGTGCGCGTGCACACACACACACACACACACACACACAATTATGCCATGGAGTGGAAGAAACCTTGGAAAAGACTTGAATTCTCCTGTAGAGCTGGCTGAGATTGTTGCTATAAGCATGCTAATTAGGAAAGAGTGATGAGTGGAATTTTATGGGAAGGTTGCCATAGTAAAAGCCCTGCTGCCTCCGACCTTCCTAAAAGAGAGGAGCACTTTTGTCAGTTGCGTTTCAAAAGAAAAGTCAGAAAAGGTTAAATGAGAGTCATTACTAATTAAAGGTAATTCAAGTATATAATTTCTTTTATATCTTGCTTCAAATCAATTTTGTTTAACTCCTCAGTGTTGATAACTGTGCCTGGCACCCAGTTGCTTGTTCAGCTGAAAGATAAATATGTTTTCTTTTTTCAATACTAGAGAAACAAGTGATTAGTCTTTGTTCAGCATGAATAGAGTCATTTAATGTGATATTTTAAAAAGCATAGATGGATTAATTGTGTGTCTTTTGTTTCATCTACCTCATTTATCCACCAGTTCTAAGGCCATCTAGGAGCCCTTACATAGGTAAATATTATACCCCTTGTGGAACTGATTGGAACAAAGTTGTGGTCCTTCAGGAGACTCTAAGTATCCTTTGAGGACAAGCCTTCCAGATCCAGCTGGTATGAATGACAGTGCAGTGCACAGTGACAAAAGTGGATTTAAAGAGCTAGAAAAGAAGGAAAGCTAAAGATCATGTAAGGGATCTATGACATAAAGCAAGGGCATGTGAGGAAGCTAGGATGGATACTGAGCATTCATATGTTTGATACTCCTTTAGATATTATGACCTTGACACCAAGAGATGGTTCTAATATCTCTTGGTATTGTCACGTGAGACAACTTGGAGGGAATTATCAAAGAGGAATTTCATGTGTATAGGCTCCTAATTTAATTTGTATTGAGGATGGCAAAGACATCCAATAGATGTTCGTTGATATATCATTATCATGCTAATTTGCTTTTTCTCTAATAGCCAATGATGCCCAATAGCTCTTCATGTGCTTATCTGCCTTCTGTATATCTTCTTTAATGAGGTGTCTATTCAGATCTTTTCCCCATTTTTCAACTGGGTTGTTGTTTCCTTGCTATTGACTTTTGGGAGTTCTTTCTACATTTTGGATGCACTTCCTTTATGTGACTTGCAAACATGTTCTCCCTGGTTTTTGCCCTTCACCTTTATGAATTATACTATATTGAAATTTTCTTTGTACTGATTGTACTTGCAGTGTCAAATCTTACTCCCTGCCTCATCTCAAGTCATTGTGGTTTTTGATTTTTTTGTTTTTTATATATATTTTTTATTGTAAAAATACTGTAAAGAGGGGTTACAGTTATATGAGTAATGAGTACATTTCCTATCGAGCAGTGTTACCCCCTCCTTTGTTTTTCCCTACCATTAAGTATTTCACTTGTGTTTTCTATTAAAAGTTTTAGTTTCCTGTCTTATATCTAAATCTACTATCCATTTCAAGTTGTTTTCACCAATATTTATGGAAATACTATTGACAAAAATTGCATATGTTGGGCAGGGAATGTGGCTTAGTGGTAGAGTGCTTGCCTAGTGTGCATGAAGCCCTGGGTTCAATACTTCAGTATTATATAATCAGAAAAATCTGGAAGGGGCGCTGTGGCTCAAGTGATAGAGTGCTAGCCTTGAGCAAAAGAAGATCAGGGACAATGCTCAGGCCCCAAGTATAAGCCCCAAGACTGGCAAAAAGAAATTGCATATATTCAAGGTATGCATATTGATATAATATATGTAGTGTGTAATTATTACCACAACCAAATTAATCAATCCATCATTACCATACAGTTTTCCTTAGACAATGTATTTTTTTGAAAAAACAATTTGTCATTATTTTTATTTATTTATTTTGTTGATCACGAGGCCTGAACTCTGGGCCTGGGTACTGTTCCTCAGCTCTTCAGGTCAAGGCTAACACTCTATCATTGGAGCCACAGTGCCACTTCCAGCTTTTTCTGCTTATGTGGTGCTAAGAATCGAACCCAGGGCCTCATGCAGACAAGGCAAGTACTCTACCACTGAGCCACCTTCCCAGCACCGACAATGTATTTTTTAATGGCCAAAGTGTTTCCTATGTTGCCCAGGCTGGCCTGGAACTCCTAGGTTCAAGTGATTTCCCTGTTTCAGTCTCCCAAGTAGCTGAGAATACAAGCATGAGTCACCACACTCAGCTAAATTGACTGCTGTAGGTTCCATCTATAAGTTAGATTATACAGTATTTGTCTTACTATACCTAGCTTATTTTACTAGCATAATATCCTCCAGGTTTACTCATGCTGTTGCAATTGACAGGATTTGTATTAAAATGCCTGAACAATATTCCCATGTGACTATCACATTTTCTTTACCCATTTGTCTTGGGGCTTGAACTTAGGGCCTGGATACTGTTCCTGAGCTTCTTTTGCTCAGCACTCTACCACTTAAGCCACAGTGCCCCTTCTGGCCTTTTCTGTTATGTGGTACTTGGTTACATATCTTGCTTCTTTGTGAATAATGTTGCTATGAGCACAAGAGTATAAATAGCTCTTTAAGACACTGATTTCATTACCATTGGAATCTCTATCCTGTTTTCCATAATATCTGTATCATTTTACATTTCCATCAATAGTGTACAAAGGTTACA